AATTAAGAATTCCTTTAAAAGTTCATTGAACCTCTAAAGATTTTTTTTCCCTTTGTAGCCTGGAAAAAAATAGTCATGGACTGTAAAAATTGCAGAGCTGATGGTAGTAGCATATCAGCCTTGCCTGTAGTCACACACTTGAAGCATTCCAGGTGGGAAAATACATCTGCTTTTTGGAAACTAACCTTGCCCTTAGTTATTGTCTGAGTAATTTTTCATTCTTGAGTGCATCTGTAATATCAGAACAAGCTCATGTCTGGTTAAATCTCAATACCTCATGCTTTTGTGCAATGTATAGGCACCTCCTTTGCAGTAAGGGTGATGTGATGTTGTTTGTGTTCTGTGAAAGCCAGTGTAATTTTGATGAGTTACAAGGATTAACTTGGTGAAACACTGGCCCAGGTTGCCCAGAGAAGCTGTGGATGCCCCATCCCTGGGAGTGTCCAAGGCCAGGCTGGATGAGGCTTGGAGCAACCTGGTCTAGTGGAAGGTGTCCCTGCCCATGGCAGGGGGTGGGACTAAGTGGGCTTTAAGGTCCCTTCCAACCCAAACCATTCTTTGATTCTATGATTAGAAGCAGTTTATGTTGTGCGTGTTCAACAGAAATTCACTACACCTCTGCAAAACGATTTATCCATAGTTATTCCTTCTCTGGGGAATAAACACATCATCTTTCTTCACCAAAAAAAAAAAAGTCCAGGAGGAATCTGGGGACTTGGCTATTTTTTAAAGAAATCCTTAAGGCATTGGTAGACATATGGACCACCTCCCAGGAGAGGGGAAGTAGGAGTGACATTTCTTTAATGCACTGGATAATGCCCTACACTGGACTTTCCACGCCTGCTGTGGCATCCCAGCGTATAGAGTGGGAGTGCTGAATTAAAAAATCATTTTTATGTAAGCCACATAGAGTGAAACTCGGGAGTTCGTGTAGCTGTAAACCAGTAAATTTACTGCAGAGGGAAATATGCAGTACTGGTTCTTCAGGAGTTCTGCAATCAATTTTATTGTAAGACAATTATGATTTTTATGACCTTCTGCCCCCTCCTTTTCTCTCTAATGAGTTTTCCTGGGTTAGCAAAGCATCGTTAACTCAAGAGAGTCTTTGGGAAGACATGTAAATGAAAATTAGGTTTTTTGAAAGTAGTATTTTATTGATCTAAGCAACAACATTCATTTTCTTTAGGTTTGTGCTGGAGCCCCTCCTGCCAAAAAAGATGCATTCTAGGTCTCAAGATAAATTGGACAAGGATGACCTAGATAAAGATAAGAAAGAAAAGAAGAAGGAGAAAAGGAACAGCAAGCATCAAGAGATATTTGATAAAGAATTTAAATCTACTGATATTTCTCTGCAGCAGTCTGAAGCAGTGATCCTTTCAGAAACGGTAACTTTATTAGCAAATAATGCTTTATCTAATGCTGTGCAGTGTTCCTCCTCTTTTTAAATAAAAATGTGGGGGTTTAGGATGGAGCTTATTTTTAGACCAAAACTAACTCCAAGGGAATACATTATGATGTTAATATATGTGATAATGAATCAGAAATAGGGATTTTATTTACAGAATAAAAAAATCATGGTATCTCATATGAAAATTAAAAGCTATATATGGCTCTGATAAAAGGAACAAATGAAATATCCTAAGTAAAAGAAATGATACTATTTTAGCAGTCTTTTGTATTTATGGTTGCCAGTAGATGGTGATGGGTTTTCTCGTAGTACAGCTGCCTACTCCAAGGCATACCTGGTGGAAACGTTACAAGGTCATTTTATGCATGGCAGTTATGTACTGTTTTGAGCAGAAAACGGTAAGCAGTTCCACTGGTGGCTGTGTATAAGAATATTAACTACAGGGCATATCTCGCCTCAGCCCTCTCTTCTTGGCATATGTCTAATTCACTGAAACTGCCCTAAAGGCTTAGGTAACTTGAGAAGTTTTAGGTCTGAAATCGAAAGCAAGGCCGTTTTAAGCTGGAGCAGGGAGTGTGTGAACTAATCGTAACCTCCAAATTTCTGCCTGGACACCTGTTTGAGGCCAATAGTTTACAACTTGCCCTCCAGAAATCAATGGTTTTTTAAAGATTTGCACCAGTTTTTGTGGAGCCAACTTTTATCTCCGCAGAGTCTTTCAGTGGTGGCTGTCATTTGCATTGGGCTTGAGAAATGATTTCTCTCTGACCTGTGATGGCGAGATCCTTCAAGTCTTTCTGATTGGTGTTTGTATGTTACTTAGACGTTCAGCCATAGTTCTCCGTTTTCTGGATTTTCTCTGTCTTTGCCATCCTGACGTGTGCTCATCTCTGAGATGTGTCTTCTGACATGGGGAAGATCAGAGTTGTTCTGTTTGATGTGGCCTTAGCCCCAGTATTCGTTCAGCAAAACCTCAGATAAGATCTTTTTTATTTGGAGCTTTTCACTCAAGCTCCTTTGAAGCCAGTGAGTTTTCCCATTGACTTCAGTACATTTTGAATCAAGGCTGAGTTTGTTAAATGGAGATTCCTTCTGTCAGAGCCAGTCAGGTGAGCATCATTCAGTGTTTTCAGACAGCAGATACATTTGGGATAGCTTTCTGTACATCTCATCTTTCTGACGGAATGCGTTTGACTCTGGACGTATTAGCACATTGCAGCAGTCCTATTTTGACTAAGCCTGAACATTGGTGTGTCAGGCCTTGCACTCACATCTCCAGATCCCCAAACCGACTATCAGAGTTCGTGGGAGAACAGCGTTAGCCGCAGGAGAAGAAAATTGTATTTTGGAGCACCTCAGTCAGTTGGATTTACACAAATCCATGAGACCCAATGGGAGGTGTCCAAGAATGCTGGAGAGCTGGTTGATGTCACTGCAAGGTCACTGTCATCTCTGGGAGGTCTTGGACATTGGAGAAGATTGCTTATGACTGGAAAAACACAAATGCTGGCTGGAAGGGAGGACATGATAAATCTTCAAGGCATATTCGCACTTGTCATCTGAGGAACAAAATGAGCAAAGCCCAACATGGTTTGACTCAAGTTCTCTACTCTTCCCAGCCAGGAGCCTTCGATGGACGACTGGTATGACTAATTTTCCCCTGGTGATAGAGAGGGAAGAAAATTAAATGTCAGAATCAGTTATTTAAAGTTACTTTGAGCTTCTTGAAATCCAGAGATCGGTAATATGAAAAGGAATTTGCCAGTGAAAGAAAAACTCTCCCTTTTCAGTATCTGCAGACTACTTGATGAGCTCCAAAATGACCAAGTCAATTTTTAATGCTTGGTGGTAGTGTGGTTCATTTTCGCTTGTAGGTGAAATAGAGGAAACACTTTACAGATCAGTTTACAGGAGTGGTTGTACAATTCCCACTGCTGTCTTCAGGAATTTTGTACAGATAATGTCAAGTAGTTGAAAGATAAAATTTGTCTTGAAATTTTTGCACTCTGGAGATAAATGTCCCGTATTAGGGATATAAAAGGGAAATGGTTATCTTTTGTGGGTAAAAATTCAGCTTCTCCATTGTTCTACTTCCGTGGGCTGCGCTGTGTGCAAGTTCCCTTTTTTATGTTGAAATTGCTCCCAAAGCACTGTTACTCCTGTGTTTTATGAAGGAAAAGACATTTTGATTTCTCTTGCATTAGGAGCTTGAAAGCACAAAGCTTGCTAGCTTAAAAAAAGATGATGATGAAATGGAGGTGGGAAAAATTAAGAATTTTTGTTGTTGTTGGGGTTTTTTTAAAAAAAAAATGGTTTCCAAATTTTACTGGAAATCAAAATTAAACGTTTGAAGAGCTTTTACAGTGTTATTTTAGTAATAACCTACTATTTGTTACTAGATTTTGTACTGTAGTTACTGGATTCCTTTGTTGAGAATTTTCTCACACACTCATAACCTTGGTAATTTGGTGAATTCTCGAAAGGATTCTTAGTTCTGACTTCTAAAGGCTGCAAGAACTGGGCTTGTTCAGCCTGGAGAAGAGGAGGCTCCGAGGAGACCTCATTGCAGCTTTCCAGTATCTGAAGGGGGCCTACAAGGGTACTGGGAGAGGACTTTTTACAAGAGCCTGTAGTGATAGGACAAGGGGTAACGGGTACAAATTGAAATCAGGGAGGCTTAGATTAGATGTCAGGAAGAAATTCTTCACAGAGAGGGTGGGGAGGCACTGGGACAGGTTGCCCAGAGAAGCTGTGGATGCCCCATCCCTGGGAGTGTCCAAGGCCAGGCTGGATGAGGCTTTGAGCAACCTGGTCTAGTGGAAGGTGTCCCTGCCCATGGCAGGGGGGTTGGAACTAGATGATCTTTAAGGTCCCTTCCAACCCAAACCATTCTATGATTCTATGATTCTAAAATATTTGGGGGGTTTACAGCAGGAGACGTGCTTTTCTTTAGTACAATGTTAATTTTTAAGTACCTTCAAGAAAACGAATGAAAAAAGAACAACCAGTTGTCAACACCAGATTGGTCAAACTCTTCTTTCTGTGACAGAGGAGAAGGCTCTGCGGGTAGGAACAATGGGGCAGACCCCAGCATGCCGACTTCAGCATGGCTTTTGGCACACCTTGCACAGTGTTCTCATGAGCAAGACTGGTTGATGAAGTCCAGTCTAAGGTGATGCTGAAGGAAACGTAGCAGACTGGAAAAACTGCGCTCAGTATCATCATGGGCAAGACGGAGTAGATGAGAACCCGTGATGGGTTTGGAGAGTGGGATATGCCAGAATAATCTGTGTGCAGAAGCACGGCGCGTGGCCAGCCTCTTAATCACTGGCTCTGTCTCAGGTCTGTTCATTAATAGGAGGATTTGCTGTGTGTCACTTTTGTTTCATCCAGGTGCCATCACTCTTTACAGCCAGCCCGTGTCAGCACTAGCTGGCAAGTAGGCTTGTGCTTGGCAGTTCAAAAGTCCGGTTTCAGATATTCCCCCTGCACACATTTAAACACACAATCATCACTTGCCTGACAACACTCCTATTCGAAATTGTGCTTCACCCACCATGAACAGGTAGTTGTCAGTGGTTTGCTTTCATGAGGGAAGGATGCATCAATAACCTTATATATGAACGTGTTCTGGATCCTGGGTTATTTGCTGCTAATTGGTTTGTGCACCGTAATTGCAAGCATGATACCGAACTTACGGAGAATATCAAGCGAGAGGTGCAGCAGGAGTGTCAGACAGCAGTCATTCCCATCTCTGCAGAGCTTCTATTCTGTTCAAAGGTTATTTTGCTGATGAAATTGGTGTTTTCATCACTGCGATGGACTTTTGTTATATAAGAACTCGGTTTTTTTCCCCAGTCAAATGAATCGTCATGGAAGAACGTGGGAAGATTATAAAACAGCAGAATTATTTCCTGGAGCTTTTACATTTTCTTTGAAAAGGAGCATTCAGAGGCCATTTTGTCTAGTTGTATGGCTTAAATACTTTTATCCAAATTTCACTGTACTCATAATGGATTTACTGACTGATCAGAACCGAAGCCCTAATTACAGAGATCTTGTAGTACTATGATGTTATCAGAAGATAAATTAAGCACTTCGGTATGTGAAGATGAATCAGTAGTGTCTTTAGTTTTCTGGAGATTTATATCTTCTTTCAAGTCTCACATAAACTTCTTTAACATAAATTCTCATTATTAGTTCTTTGATTCCATGAGCTGATAGCAAACCTAACGCTGAAGCCAGGTAGTTAACAGATCACTCAAAAAGCTTTTGTTAGAAATCAGAGAAACAGGCTGTACATTTTATTGATTTAGTGGCATCAACATCACTCACTATCGATCCAGCTTTCATTAGACAAAAAAAAAATTAGCAATGGGTTCATTATGGGTTAGTGGTCTCCAAAGAGTTCATATTCCCTAGCAGAATCATGATTTATGTGAAGCTTTAAGAGGACCAAGTTTGTCAATCACAGAAGTTAACATTTATTTAAGAAAAGGTAGCTATAGACCAGGTTAACTTGGGAACTTGACTCTAATTGCTGGGTTTTCTCTTTCTTGTTGGGTTTTCTCTTGATTATGACATTGCTGCTTTCCTTATTAATTAGTGTGTTTTCCGTAGTTGCTTTTTTATAATTATATGCCTCTGAGAAAGTGATTACTTTGCTTATCCAGTCTACTAAAAATATGCTTTTGAAGATCTTGGTAGGAGAAACACTTGGAGTCTTTAGGACTTGAATCTAGTATCAGGCAAATTTCTGAAAGGTTACCCTGAGGTCTTGATGAACTTCCCAAACCGTTACATGCTTTAGGGTCATTCATTTCTCCTAGAAGGGTCTCAGAGGCACAGCCTTTTATGCAAACCCATTTAGGGTTCATTTTCTGAAAATAAAAGGAAGCACTCATACCTCATTTTAGATTTCTCCTTCACAACATGCTTTTCAAAAAAAAAAAAACTGAAATGACAAAATTCTTTGAAAAAGCATCATTTGCTGCTGGCGTTTTCTGTTTCGTCCTAATTCAACACCTTGGATGTAATTCACCTCTTAACCTCAGGCTGCTGCTCCATCTTCTGTGATCTCTTGGAAATAAAGAACTCCTTTCTTCACTGTGATTACTAGAAATAGGGGGGCTGGTGGGTGGGTAACAAACAGTAGAGCTCAGAATTAAACTGAGTAAAAGGAGTCACCCTAAGAAAAGCATTAGTTGCCTGTAAGATTACAACTATCATTTCAGGGTTTCTGATGGAAAATTTAAATGGACTATGAACCAGCCGGGGTGAAACAATACGGATATTTCAGTGAATTAAATATAAGCACAAACAGGCACCATCATGCAAGTGTTTGCGGACAGGTGATGTCTTCCTCAGAAGAGACTTTCACCATGCAAACAATTAAAGAGAGAAATTTTAACAGGGCTGTAGAGCCGTGTGAGAAGAAAGAAAACACTTTGAATGCTGTATAATCCCGTGTAGACTTCCTTAGCTGTCACTGAGCAAGTTAGCAAGGGAATTGGCTCATTGCTTCAGAGAAATATGCCAAGCTACAGGAAGGTGTGTGTGTTAAATCTCACTGGGATTTCTGGGGAGAAGGCAGAAAAACTTGGAGCTGTGAAATCCTGCACTGAATCAGAAGTATTGTATGTTATCATTGCCCTCTTACTGTTTAGGAGTAGTGGGAAAATGTGGCAATCCCGAGGTCTGCCGCTGCGTAACAACATGTATTCTTTTACTGTCTCACCGGTTTTGTCCCCGTGCAGATCAGCCCACTCAGGCCACAGCGACCAAAAAGCCAAGTCATAAACGTCATTTCAAGTGAAAGACGTTTCTCCGTCTCTCCATCGCCTCCCAGCTCCCAAGTGACGCCACCTCCGATAACGCCACGGACAAAACTTTCTTTCACCATACAGTCCAGTAAGTAACATTTTAACTACATTTTATTTTCCTAGCAGGTGTTATGCAAAATAACTTCTGGTGGGGATAGGTGTTTCCTGAGGCTTGCGTTATGCCTTGGTTTAAGTTCTGTGAGTTCATCCTTTTGCCATCACCGTGGGATTGCGTGCAGGAACACGAACTTACCACTTAGTATCACGCTTCTTGCGTTCGCCAGCAAAAAGTACTTCAGCATTTTACAAAAACAAACAACACAGTTGTTGCATTGAAAAAGTTCCTTTTCGAGCAATCATTAACAATTATCTAGGTATGGAATAACTGTCAGACATTAGTGTTGTACTTGATTCTGTACTGGGTTTAGGGTATTTGGGAGCATAAAAGCTGAAAAAAGAAGTTTCATTTGCTGTGTAATAAGTACAAGCCAGAAGGGGGAAAAAAAGTCAGTCTTTTTAATGTATTTTTTGTTTGACATGGGCATCTGTCACTCAGGTTTTGCTGTAAAATACTGCCTGTTTGCTTCAGTCTTCAGGAAATCCTATTGCAAAACTGGGTGTAATACAATGCCTATTTCTTTTACAATGCTGTTTTCCAAAAACTGTTATTCAGAGTTTTCAGTGGCTAGCATGTGACAAAAAAAAAAATGTAGTGCATTAATCAAGTGTTCAACATTAGTGGAGTATAGACGATCAGTTTTAAGGAAAAAATTTTGTTCACTCAAGGTCACTGTTTCATTTTACTATTTTTGACACTTAAACTCTTCTCTCTTAAATGGTGAATGTTTCAGAATGTTCTTGTTGCCAATTGCAGCTGCACATCCCATGAGTGGGAATGTGTTTGTTCTGCAAATCTGTACTTTTTTGTCTTCTAAAGGCATGTGGCTTTCTTCCATGGTTTGAAATCGTTGGTCACAAACATAAGGAAGAGGGATAAGCAAGTGCAAATCAATGCAGCGTGGCCTTTGCGTAGTCAGAAACAAGTGTTTTGGTAACTCTCAACTCTTCTCTTTTTGCTGGTTTAAAAGCCAAAAGCAACAATATGCTAAAAACTGGAAATACAGAAAAATAGAGTATATATACTCCTGCAAAAAAGATTCTTTGGATTGGGCTATATTTTCCTGTATACATTTTATTAAAACTAATTTGATCTCTTTTTAAAAAACTTATCTGAAGATATCATGTATTTATGAGATTATTTATGTCAATGTGCAGGAGATTAATGAGTGTTGTGGAAAATAGGTTCAGTTTATTACAAAATCCATGGTATTTGTCCGTAATCATTTGAGGAATTGCAGTGATAATTTTTTTTTTAGGAATTCAAGGATAAAGGAATTCCTTCGGTGCGCAAATTGGCTAAAAGCAGTTAATGGGTTGCTAAGCAGTACTGCTTGCTTGTTAGCTGGCAGTTTAGGAGAATGGAGTGTAAAATTTGGTCATTAGGTTAAGATGAAAAAAAGAGTCATCGAACTGATCTCTTGCCAGCTCAAAGATATTCTCAGTGGCACATGTCCAGTACAGAATAAATATTCAGAGCATACTAGTCTGATGAAACACCTTGAATAATGATAGCAAACCAGAAGTGGTGAGTAATTATTTGTACAGTGACTGAGTGAGGTGAAGTTCAGCTGAATTGAGAGGAGAGAATTGATAGATCTGCAGCAAAACGGTCTTCTTGAAACGTGACTGAAAATTCCTGAAGTTTGCGTTCGATACCTGTTTCTGCAGTAGAGTCGATGACTCTTGGATTTCATGAAACTGTGAGAGATTAGCTAGTCAGGGCAAATAATTTGTTTTCTTTATAGAATGTTGTTCTACTAAATAGTTTGTCAAACAGAATGTGTGCTGTTAATGTACATAATGAGCTGTTCATGTGGGTGGAGATACTCCGTCCACACGTACAGGGACATGTTGCTGTCTTGCAAAAGGATGAGGTGGTGGAGGTGCCACGTACAGGCTGCAGGAACACAGAGGGGCTGCAGAGAACAAGAGCTGTAGCAGGAGCTGGGGAACTTAGGGAAAGGCACAGAAGCTGAGCAGGACACAATTGCACGGTCAGCGTGCGACCATCCAGGTTGTTCAGAGTATTGCAGGTGTTAGAGTTGGCTCCACACCTTGGTTTCTCTGCAACTCTAGTGAAAACGTTGCTCACCTGCCTTTCCGTGGATCTTCCAAATGTCAGCTGGAGAGAAACAAAGGGTTTGTGTTACTCCTGATAAAACGTGTCTTGCCATCTTCTTGGTAGCACCTATTAGTCTACATGTAATGGCCTAGATGAGGTTTGCAGATACTCTAATACCATGGAAGATACTCTAGATGAAGTGTGCAGGGCAGTTAAATTCGCTTTATCTTTGGGTATAGAGTGTTAGAGTAATTTTCAGTTTCCATCCAAGGAATGTATGTAGTATGATCTAAAAACATTGCTTGTTTAGATTAAACTCTGAAAGAAGGTTTCCCTTTCTGGAGCAGGATTCAAGGTTCTGCTGAAGTTCTAGCTGAATCACAGAATCATAGAATG